TTGGATGCATATAGGGGAAATACAGTTGATTAGAAAATAAAATGGAGATGCACGGATATGGTGGGGTTAAAATGCACGTTTATCATAAAGGCTATTAATTGTTTGTAGGAAATACAGACTGTTGATTAGAAACGCAATGTTAGTTGTTTGTAGGTTCGGAGGAGATGTCAGTTGCTGGTCTTCTAGTTAGCCGGGAAGGGGGTGGGTGTTGGTGTGGTAAACCGTCTCTTTTATAGCATGGACTGGGAGCTAAGGAGCTTATTCAGGGGATTCACATGAGCAAGAGGTCAGTCATGGCTCAAATCTTCTGGCCATGGGATGAGATAGGTCGTTACAACGTAAACAGCAGCGGATTGGCTGGACCTGTGTGTGGGATCTCAGCGTTCCACCAAAGGTTAAGGTGTTTCTTTTTCCTGCTAGTGTGGAATCTCAGTATTACTGCTAGTCTTGCTTCGAGGAGGGTGAAGTGGTCGCAGCTGCGCATTTTATTATCTTTGGATAGGGACACGGCTTTTCACATATTTGTCTTATGCCCGTTATGAAAGGAAATATGGATATTTCTGAAATGAACCTATGTAGGTTGGCTTTTCGGTTTCAGACTGAGCAGAATCTTTTTCTGTGCTTATGATGATGATGAATATTCCTTATGCTCTTGTGGGGTATTTTGCGTGCTCAAATCGAAGCTCTGTGTAAACCAGATCAGATCAGATTAGATTAGACTTAAACAGACCATACCAGATCAGACTTCCATAGTTATAAAATACACAGAGATCATACATTTATCAAACCAGACCAGACCAGACTAGGCTTAAATAGACCAGACCAGACCAGCAAATTTCGATCCAAGTAAAAACATCATAAGTTCTTAAGCCAAGACTCAAGATGAACATCTACCCCCATTAGTTATTTATATTTTGTTCTAAGTCAAGTTTTTGTTGGAAAATGTGTTAAAAATTGCATTAAATGGTGATTTTGGGGCAATTATTTGAGTGGGGTCCACTTCCGATTTGGGTCGGGTTAAAGTGGTTTCGGATTGCCCTTGTTAAGGGCTACAATTCGATATATGGTACACTCAAAACGGATACAGTCTAATTTTTGTTTCTTCCCGTAACGTTTTATTTTTCCCAGGACCAGAGTTGTTCGAACTCTGGTGGCTTCGTACCAGAGACGCTCCAACTCTGGTGGCTTCGCATCAGAGTTGCTCCAACTCTGATGGAGGTATTCTGATCGCGCACAAGAACTGCTCCAAGCCGTTACAACCATTAAATGCCCAACGTTTTTGTCTTTTAATGCAACGTTAAATGGACAGTTTATGGATGATTCAATGCCCAACGGACTGGTCATTGATGTCCAACGTTCATGTCCATTAACACCCCATTTAACACACAACAAATCCTCCTATAAAAGGTTGGCAGGTGCTTTGCAACAAACACACGGTTTGACAATGCACAATACATTCCTCACGAATTTCTTAAACTAAAAACACTTCCAGCTACTCCGCAAATTCCTTCTGTGTTCATACTTGGTTCTCGTTCGCTGGAACTCTTGTTTGTGTGCTCAAACATTAGTTCGTAGTCATCGTATCCTAGGAAACGATTGTTGCAACGTTCCTAGCACCGTGGGAGGCAACAAATACGTTTTAAGGACATCGTGCGTAGCACGAGCTTTGACTAATTCTGCTTCATCTTCTTTCTTGTTTTTCTCTAGTCATTTTATTTAATTAATTTATTTTAATTAATTTCCTTTATTTTCCGAAACACACCCAACCGTTTTATGATTTATACTTCTAATATTTAACTTTAGAATTTTATCAATCGGGACCTGAAAGATAAATGAACTATCAATTCGGGACCTGAAAGATGGAATGTATCGGTATAAGTTCTGAATGATGGAAAACTATCAATCTAGGACTCGAATGATTGAAAACTATCAATTTAGGACCTAAGTTTTCATAAATTTTAAATGTTTAGTTTTATTAAACTAATAAACTTTTGTGAAGAAAATTTCACCAAATATTAGCAATTGAATTAATAAAAAAATTAAATAAATCAAAACCTGTGAAATGTTAGGTCTTAGCCAAATCGAGTCCTATATCGATACGTTTCATCTTGCAGATTCCAAATTGATAATTCGTCTGTCTCTCACGTCCCAAATTGATTTCATGCCGGCCACTAGCTCTCAGCCACCATGAGACCATTGACCCCGTCTCTACCACCACCACCTCCTTCCGGGTAATTTACCGAAATACGGGAAAAAGGGGTTGGGGTTGCCAAAATACGGGGATTTTTCTAGGTTTTACCAAAAAACGGGAGTCGGAACTGGGTGTTCCGACTAGAGGTTGGGTTTCCAAAAAAATGGACTCTCCCCTCATGTCGGATTAGTGACTTCCGACTAGGAGGTTTTTTTATTTTTTTTATTTTTTGCCGAATTCTTAAGGTTTTGATTTTGAGTTTTAAAAACTAAAAATTTTAAATTGGGCTAAACCTCTACTCGGAAGTGAGGAATCCGACCAGATTTCAAAAAAAAAAAAACATAATTATTTATTTTTATATTTTTTAATAGTTGCTACAAATTGCCAATTTCTTTAATAATTCCGAAACAATTTTATTTAAATTATTCCAATCATCATGATTCAACTTTTACTTTATTTTATTTATAATATATATTTTACATATAATTTTTACATGAATCAGTAAAATCAATCAATCCAACCACTTCAACCAGGAATTTCATAAATGTTAGCAGAATCGGCCAATTACACCCGATTTGGGTATTATCAAAGAGGGTTTCCAAATAAAAAACTTCGTATGGAAGGGTGCATTCCAAAATGCCTTATTTAGTTTTTTTATTGCCCGGCCGCAATAAAATACTCTTCTCACAGTGGTGTGTATAAGTTGTGCATAAAATAATCACGTGTATTTAGGTCTAAAAGTAGAGATGAATTTTATCAATCCAGGTTCTGAAAGATAGATGAAAGTTTAATATTAACACTTGTGATTCACATTTTTAGACCCGGATCATAAAACCTCAATTCGACTCAGTAAGGATACAATCTTCTGAAATGCAATTAGCCTATATCATGAACACGAGTTGTAAAATTGACAATGATTTACTTAATATATCAATGAAATTTTAATATTCATACTTGTGATTCACATTTTTTAGACCCGGATCATAAAACCTCCAATTCGACCTAGTAAGGACACAATCATTCGAATTTTATGCAATCAGCCTATATCATGAACACGAGTAGTGAAATTGACCACGAGTTACTTAATATATAGATGAAAGTTTAATATTAACATTTGTGATTCACATTTTTTAGACCTGAATCATAAAAATCCCAATTCGATTCAATAAGGATACAATCTTCTGAAATGCAATTAGCCCATATCATGAACACGAGTTGTAAAATTGACAATGATTTACTTAATATATCGATGAAATTTTAATATTCATACTTGTGATTCACATTTTTTAGACCTGAGTCATAAAACCTCCAATTCCCCTTAATATTAACACTTGTGATTCACATTTTTTAGACGAAATCAGCCAATAGATGAAATACAAATTTGATTTTGTTTAGAATGCAATGTTTAGATGAAACCACCACCACGACCACCACCACGACCACCACCACTTACCACCACCACCATGACCACCACCACTACCACCACGACTACCACCACCACCACCACCATGACCACCACGACCAACACCACCATGATCACCACCACGACAATCACCTCCACCACGACCACCACCGCTACGTACCACCACCACCACATGGTGGAGGGGACATATCAGGGCCGAGCACCCAACCTACCATTGGTTTTCCCACATTATTATCAGTACTCTACACAGCCAGATGCATTTTTTACCACATTTATGGATTCATCATTTTACCATGAAGACACAACGGTGGTTTAGAACACTGACGGCGGGGACATATCAGGGCCGAGCACCCAACCTACTGTTAATACAACACATTTATTGTATGTACATATTTATAAATAAATTACATTGAAAACCACATTTGTTTTGTTCACTTTCATTGAAATTACATAAATTGCATTTGAGGAAGCGGTCCAGCCCAGCAGGTCGCCGACTCACTCTCCCTTACGGGAGGTCTCGGGTTCGAAACTCAATGGAGTGAGTTTCTGCCTAGTTTACTCTAGGCTCCCCCAGCCCCCTCCCCCAGACGCCCCCTGGAGTAAAAAAAAAAAAAAATACATAAATTGCATTTTAAACAAAATCAAATTTGTATTTCATTTTATGAATTTAATTCACAATACGGATGGATTAATAAATAAAATAAAGTAACCAATGTTTTGATATTAAAAAAATCAAACTCTATATTTTCCATTTTAAATTTCAAAAATACAAATAAACAAATCAATAAATTTAGAAGTACATAACTCCACCTTATTTAAAATACAAATAATGTTTTGTTATTATGGAAAAATCAGATGCATGTTTTGTTAATATGGAAAAATCAGATGCATGTTTTGTTATTAGTTTTAATTAAGTAATAAAAAAACTTCCTGTCGGATTTGTGAAATCCAACCATAGAATGAACCCAAAGTTTTGGTATTCTCCTAGTGGACTTTTTTACCACTAATATAATTTAAAAAAAAAAATTACCCAAATGTTTGGTTTACCGATTCCGATAGGGGTATATAATTTTTTTAAAAAACAGGTTTCCCCTGGTCGGATTTGCCAATTCCGACAGGAGGAATCCACGAAATATAACCTAGTCGGAACACCCAATTCCGACTCCCGTATTTTGGTAACCTAATTGCACTTCCCGTATTTTGGCGTGTCAGACCAAAAAGTCCCGCATTTTGGTAATTTCCTCCTCCTTCCCGCCATAGCCATTGCCCCACCAGCCGCGACTCTTCTTTTATAGTCCCTCCCCTCCCCAAAGTTCCGTCCATACCCCACCAGCCCTATCCCCATGCCCACTAGGCCCTCCCCTGCCTCGCCCAAGCATTGTTAAGCGACCAGTCTGCTGAGCCTTGATCGAAATGGGTTGGGGAGAGGAAGGGGAATGGAATATTCCTTCTGCATATCAGTTACAGGAGATGGAGGCACATGAAGGGTGCAACAGTCCAGCCCACAACCCTCGTGCTACACCCCAAGTCCCATATTCGATGCTGATAAAGATGACTGGCATGAACCCTATGTTATAAGTTTACAGCATTGATATAGAAGATGACTGCAGGGCTGCATACCAGCAGCAGCTGCAAGGCCGTCGTACACCATTCAGCGAAAGTATTTGTGGTTTCCTTGAAGTTAATGGGATGGGGCTTCCACAAACACACAAGTTGTTTGAGGTGAAGTTTGATGATAAGTCATGACAGGGAAGAAGACGACATAAATTCTTCTTCTTCCCAGTCTCCTCCTCCGACCTGTATTACTACTACTGATGCAGGTTTTTAACATGTCCTGGGGGAGTTATGCCCCACACACACATTGTGCTTTTCCATCAGGATGGCATTGATAATGGCAAAGAGTTCCCCCACGATGATGAACTACAGTCAGTGCATACGGCGACTTCCACTATCATTCCTCTATTGAGGCCAGGTGTCCTTTCCTCTATTCGCTCAGGCTTAAGATGGATCTATTCCTTACCTTATGTAGAAGTAGCGATAGCCGCAATGGTCATGGACAATTACCCCACAACAAGTATGGTAGCTCTGAACCAGTCGTTGTGGTCAAGATTGATGATGAAGTGAGGTTCAATGCCATCCCTGGGAGACCAAAGTCGAAGAAACTTCCAATCAATGGTGCTGCTGGAGGACCAGAAATCAAAGTGCAAGCCAAGTTTATTTATCATTATACCTACAAGGTCAGCAACTTGTTCTGAAAATCGGTGACATGTGCTTACTATCAATTAATGTTCTTATTCTAGTCTTATGTTTTAGAACTAGTGTTTGAATCATATTGTTAGTAGTTCAGTTATTTACCTTGATGTCCTTTGACGCACTGAGGTGTGTATTTTGTATGGACCTTTGAACTTGAGTACTTTTTTAACTTGATGGGATATTAAGGTCTGGCCCAATACGGTGGCCCAAAATATCCCTGAATCCTAGACGCAAGGTTAAGGTGTTTCTTTTTCCTGCTAGTGTGGAATCTCAGTATTACTGCTAGTCTTGCTTCGAGGAGGGTGAAGTGGTCGCAGCTGCGCATTTTATTATCTTTGGATAGGGACACGGCTTTTCACATATTTGTCTTATGCCCGTTATGAAAGGAAATATGGATATTTCTGAAATGAACCTATGTAGGTTGGCTTTTCGGTTTCAGACTGAGCAGAATCTTTTTCTGTGCTAATGATGATGATGAGTATTCCTTATGCTCCTGTGGGGTATTTTGCGTGCTCAAATCGAAGCTCTGTGTAAACAGAAACCAACCCCGGGTCGCGGCAAGCAAGGCTATAGCAGCAACTGGTGTCTGCCCCGAGGTTATTGTTGTACTACTTCGTAGAGCAAGGCAATATAGCAACATTATTATCATCAATGCATCTACGAATAGAAAAATTACATACTTGAGTGTAATTATTATTTGGTTGAGCCAACTTTAATTCGTTCTAAATCAAGTCTTTAATTCACAGCGTTTACTCATTTCTAACCAAAATTTCAATTATTGATCGCTGAAAAATGAGTTATTATGGATATTTGGTTTACCATTGACATATTGAATTTGCCTCAATTAAGCGACCAGTCTGCTGAGCCTTGATCGAAATGGGTTGGGGAGAGGAAGGGGAATGGAATATTCCTTCTGCATATCAGTTACAGGAGATGGAGGCACATGAAGGGTGCAACAGTCCAGCCCACAACCCTCGTGCTACACCCCAAGTCCCATATTCGATGCTGATAAAGATGACTGGCATGAACCCTATGTTATAAGTGTTCAGCATTGATATAGAAGATGACTGCAGGGCTGCATACCAGCAGCAGCTGCAAGGCCGTCATACACCATTCAGCGAAAATATTTGTGGTTTCCTTGAAGTTAATGGGACGGGGCTTCCACAAACACACAAGTTGATTGAGGTGAAGTTTGATGATAAGAATCATGACAGGGAAGAAGACGGCATAAATTCTTCTTCTTCCCAGTCTCCTCCTCCGACCTGTGTTGCTACTACTGATGCAGGTTTTTAACATCTCCTGGGGGAGTTATGCCCCACACACATTGTGCTTTTCCATCAGGATGGCATTGATAATGGCAAAGAGTTCCCCCACGATGATGAACTACAGTCAGTGCATACGGCGACTTCCACTATCATTCCTCTATTGAGGCCAGGTGTTGTTGTGCCTTTCCTCTATTCGCTCAGGCTTAAGATGGATCTATTCCTTACCTTATGTAGAAGTAGCGATAGCCGCAATGGTAGTGGACAATTACCCCACAACAAGTATGGTAGCTCTGAACCAGTTGTTGTGGTCAAGATTGATGATGAAGTGAGGTTCAATGCCATCCCTGGGAGACCAAAGTCGAAGAAACTTCCAATCAATGGTGCTGCTGGAGGACCAGAAATCAAAGTGCAAGCCAAGTTTATTTATCATTATACCTACAAGGTCAGCAACTTGTTCTGAAAATCGGTGACATGTGCTTACTATCAATTAATGTTCTTATTCTACTCTTAATGTTTTAGAACTAGTGTTTGATTAATATTGTTAGTAGTTCAGTTATTTACCTTGATGTCCTTTGACACACTGAGGTGTATATTTTGTATGGACCTTTGAACTTGAGTACTTTTTTAACTTTTGGTAGTTAGTCAAAGGGAAAACCGGAAAACTGTCAAATTTGTCCCCGTACTTAATGTCGGATCTTGCAACCAAATATAGGGTGTTCAAAATTATTTTATCTACTCCATATTACACAATAATATTGTTTGAACCACCAATTGATGACCAAATTTAGTGGTTGACCGGTACCGGGCCGACCAGCCCGTGAATGTTAGTAATATACGAATTATGTTAAGATGAGCTGGCACTTTGTTAGTTAGTTAGAGTCTTGTTAGACAAGTTTGTTAAGACTCAACTAAACTTAGCTAGGTTCATTCTGTATAAATACTGATGTAACTTTCCTCTTTCATTAATGAGAATTCTATTCTTCTTCTTCCTTTTCAATCTCAGTTCTGTTTCTAATATGGTATCAGAGCTTGAGTTCAATTTTTCCGTTGACCATGGCGAGCGATAGCGTATCGTCAACATCTACCTCCTCCACTGCAAATTTTGCTTTTCCAGTTGTCTTTGCTCATCCTCTTCATCTTAAACTCGACACGAACAATTTTCTATTTTGGAAGCAACATGTAGAATCAGTTGTTCGTGCTCACAAACTTTTCCATTTCATTGTTGATACTAACATTCCCCCTTCAGTATGCTACACTCACAAGACCTGAAATTAGTTATGCTGTTAACAAAGTCTGTCGGTTTATGGCACAACCTCTACAAGAACACTGGAGAGCAGTCAAACGCATTCTTAGATATTTGTCTGGGACACTTCAGTATGGACTTCTCATCAAGCCAGCACTTTCCACCTCATCCATAGCACTCAATGCCTACTGTGATGCAGATTGGGCTTCTGATCATACTGACAGGAAGTCCACATCTGGCTGTAGCATCTTTCTTGGTCCTAATCTTATCTCTTGGTGGTCTCGAAAACAAGCTTGTGTTGCTAGATCATAAGCTGAAGCTGAATATAGGAGTCTTGTTGATACTACTGCAGAAATTATTTGGATCCAATCACTTCTTCAGGAAATTCAAGTTTCACATCATGTTCCCAGAATCTACTGTGATAACCTAAGCACTGTCAGCCTAGCTCACAATCCTGTGCTACATTCCCGCATCAAACATATGGAACTTGATCTGTACTTTGTTCGTGAAAGAGTTCACCTCAAGCAACTGGAAGTTTTTCATATTCCTGCTGCACTTCAGATTGCTGATGTTCTTACCAAACCACTTCCCAGTTCTAGGTTTATTGAATTAAGAGACAAACTGAGTGTTACTGACCTCAGTTTGAAGGGGGAATGTTAGTAATATACGAATTATGTTAAGATGAGCTGGCACTTTGTTAGTTAGTTAGAGTCTTGTTAGATAAGTTTGTTAAGACTCAACTAAACTTAGCTAGGTTCATTCTGTATAAATACTGATGTAACTTTCCTCTTTCATTAATGAGAATTCTATTCTTCTTCTTCCTTTTCAATCTCAGTTCTGTTTCTAATAGTGAACCGGACCGGCCCGCTACTGTGCGGACCCGGCCCGACCTGGGAGTCGGGTACCGGTTCCGGGCCTAGGACCGGCTCGGGAAGATAGGGCGGGGCGGTCTCGGTTTGGGCCTTTTTTTTTTGCTTTTTCAATTTTTTTTTTGTTTTCTCTAGATGGGCTGGGTGTTTTGGGGGAGTTTGGGGGTGAGGGGGGGGGGGTCGGGGGTTAATTAGAAAAACAAAAAAAAAAAGACCGGCCCTAGACCGGCCCGGACCCGATGGAAACCCGGGCCGGTTCCGGCCTCCGGGCCTTCCCCCAACAATAAAAAACCCACCCAGGACCAGCCCGGAGCCTGGCCCGGCCCGGAACCGGTCCATGGCTGACCAAATTGACTTTTCTTTGTTAACTAGTATTGTACCCCTGCGATGCACGGTGAGTAATTTATCAAAATAGGTTACATATGCATAATTGTTATAAAAGTGGAATATTGGAATATAATAAACGAACAACCATATTAACTATTTGATTCTTAAATCACTATAATGACACAATGTAACTAAATTGCATTGAATACATGTGAAAATTACGGAGTACTCCCTCTGTCCCCTTTTAAATGTCCCGGAAGAGGGTGGCACACTGGCACGAGTTTTAAGAAAAGTAGGTTTGTGTGGTTGATATTAATAGATAAAGTAAGAATAAAGTAAGAATGATTTTGAGCCACACAAACTTTACCAAATAAGGTATGAGACAATTAAATAGGGACATTCCAATATGTTAAAATGGGACATTTAAAAGGGGACGGAGGGAGTAAAAGTTATGGAAAAGTTCTTTCTATACTACATTTATGATCTCGTCTTTCTGGCAATCGTCATCAGAATGGAGCACCATTGGAGTACCAATGGTGGAGTTTTTATGGTTTGTAACCGGACTTTACCTTGAGTCTAACACTCTAACACAAAGAATATTTTGGATAGTTTCTCATGGAAGTAGATTTAATACTCGGTTCATCCTAAATAATGCACCAAAATGGGGCCTTGCATGCATAATTATCACCAATGTCCGAAATATCTACACAAAAAACATAAGATAAAATATAAAGGAAAAATTTAGTGTAAATAAGTATGGCAAAAGAGTCAAATAGGCTCTTCTGTTATTTTCAATGTATCACTCAATTTCTTCTACTAAGAAAGGTGTCATGTGATACTTTTTCTTTCGGTATAATGACTTAAGTTATGGAATGGAAATAGTAGAACCCTTATAGAAAGTTCTTTGACTTCTTTCCACAAACTTTTCAACTCTTCATAAACTACATATTCGTCATCGACATCAACATCATCTATCTATATCATACGGCGTAAGTGTTAATAAGCAACGTTGAAAAGAACAACACTCATAGGATGCATGTAACGTTAAGCCTTGGAGCACTTGAAAATCCGAACTTCTAGTGTTTGGTTGATCTTCAAATTTTGAATTGACATCGGAACTAAATACTAAAATAATACTCCCTCCGTCCTACTATTATGATCCCGTTGCGGTTTACTATGTTTGACCAACGATAAAGCAAATGGGTCCCTGTTCGCACTCCAATTATTTTTAGAAAAAAATTACATATTCAGAAACTACATTAAAATCTTTACAAAGTGTCAAAAATCAGAATCAAATTTGATAAAAATTTGAATAGAAATTGGGACAATAATAGGTCGTAGTATGTATTTCAAAATATGGTATCAATAATAAAATTAAATATAAAATACTATTACTAATAAAATTATAATTTTTAATAAACTTATTAAAGTCAAACGACAGTCGAATTTAGGGTTATCCTTGGAGCTATTACCGGCGGCGTGGCCAGTCCGGTGAAGGTGTTTTTCCGGGAGTTCGGTCACGGCTTCTCAGAGTAAGAATGAGCATACTAAGCTGGAATTGTAGGGGATTGGATAATCCTGCCACGACTCGGTGCTTCGCAGACCTCGTTCAATGCCATCGACCGTCGATTGTTTTTCGGATGGAAACTAAAGTTCATTGCTTACGTGCAAAAGAATTGCTAAGGAACCAAGGTTTTGATGATTCTTATGGAGCGGACAATGAAGGCACGAGCGGAGGGCTGGTACTGGGCTGGAGGGACGACGTCGAAGTGGAGATAATGAAGGGAGAGAAGACCTTCATTGAACTGTCGGGTTAAATTGAAGGTGAACGACTCCATGGAGACTAACATGGTACTATGCATGGGTTCCCTGAAACGAGATGGAGAAGAGAAGCATGGGCCTTGATGGAGGAGTTGGCAATGGAGAGTAGCGGTCTGTGGATGATGATTGGGGACTTCAACGATATCCTTTTTAATTCGGAGAAGAAGGGGTGTATCCCTCACCCCCCTTGGAGGATTTGGGGATTTAGAGAGGTTGTCCATAGTTGTGGTTTGCGGGATTTTCCGTTCTCAGACTATCAATGGACGTGGGATAGAGGCAAAGGTACAATGCATTGGGTAGAGGAAATACTTGATCGTATACTAGTTAACGACGAGTGGTGGGACACCTTCATGGAGGCTCAGGCGAATTCTATAGAAGCCCCGGCTAGTGATCATATGGCCCTTTATGTAAAGGTAAAAGTTTCTAATCCAAATAACAGAAAGAAGAGATTTAAATTTGAAAACAATTGGGTGAAGGAAGAAGAATGTCGATTGGTTGTCACTAACAGTTGGGGGGCGGCTGCTTCTATGCCTATCAATGAAAGAATTTCTTTTTGTGGGGATGCTCTCTTGCGGTGAGACAGGGGCAGAAAATGGGGATTCATGCATCAAATTATGGCCTGCAAAAAGAGATTGGCATGGTTACGGGGGAAGGAGGACAGAACTAGCGTGATGGAATTTTTGAGAGTCCGGACAATGCTTCAAATACTGTTGGAAAAAGAGAATCTTTTTTGGAAACAAAGGGCTGAAAGAGGGGGATATTAACTCTCGTTTCTTCCATAACGCAGTTAAACAACGTAAAAGGAAAAATGAAATACCTGGGTTACGGAAGGCCGGTGGGACGTGGTGTACGGATAGAGGCGAGATGGGAGCCATTGTCACGGATTATTTTTTATCTTTGCTTCAGGCTTCAGAGCAGAACCAAACAATGGAAATCCGTGGTGACTTTGCACAGGTGACCGATGATCAAAAATTCAAAATAATTTATTTCTTAAGCCGATATGCCCGGAGGAGCTTAAAGCGGCGGTTTTCGATATGCACCCGGAGAAGGCGCCGGGTTCATATGGTATGAATCCAGCTTTCTTTCAGTGTTACTGGGACGTTGTAGGGCCAGAAATCTCGGAGTTGTGTGCTAATACATTCGCAACAGGTACTTTAGCCGCTAATATTAATATCACTAATA